TCTTAAACCTAAAACGTTGAAAATAAAAATCTTAGGAAATAGTTTGAAACTTAATGCTTATTAATGCATTACTAGATCGTTTGAATGATTTAAAAGCGATTTTCACACATTTTCTTTCCTTAATTACTGTTGTTTCTGCTTAATTAGTTAAAAAAAAAAACAAGAATGTTATTGCGCTCAGCCTGCGTACAGGTAAATTAAATAGATGCGTACATTAATGTACTTCTAACTTTTCTTATGTAACTGCTTGACAAACCGTGGTGACATAGATCAAGGAAATAAATTCCAAAAGCAATCGCGTTTTGTTTACCGATAAATATTAACTGGCTAAGAACTAAGAAACTAATGACTAAGAAACTAAGAACTAGAAAATGTGACTTTATTTTAAATTTTGGAAGAGGCAATCAAAGTGATCACGGGTTGGCACCAAAAATCACGGGATTAAGGCTAATCACGGGCTAATTAAATTTTTTAAAAATAATTATTTGAAATAATTAATAATTTTACAATAGTACAATATAGTTGAATTTTTTCACTTATGTTTTATAATGTTGTGTGTTTATAAGATTTTAACATTTCATGTTTGTAATTTCAATCACGTTCTATTTAAATTTTTAAAAAATTTCGGAGCAAGAAATTTGAAAAAAACGGCTTCAGTTACACTCCTGGATAACTTTGTGTAAGTTTAATCTATCACTGACTTTTAATTGAAATGTTCATTAAATATTCATAAATTTTTAAATATTTTAATCCAAATTTGAAAAATTCTTCCTTTTAAAAAAAATATAATATTTTATTAATTTAAAGTAAGCATTTAACTCAATAAAAATAGATATTAGTATAAAACGATCCTTTAATTTAAATGAAATTTTGTAATTTAGAAGTTTTTTTGATGAAAATCAGCGTTAAAAACAGTTGTAAATTAAAATCCATAAAAATTTAATCTATGTTTTCATTTTAAATTTTTTGAAAGATGATAATCAGTATTCGGGGCAGTTCAAATATTGCGTTATTCAAAAAGGAAAGGGTTGCGATTTACTTATTTCTAGCAAGGGGCTGGAGTGGAGGGTATTAGCAATACTTAAGCTAAATCCTAAAATCCACCTATTTTCAATTTTTTTATTTTTATTTTCACATTAAAAATGTAACAGAAAAATTTAGAAAAAGGTATTAAAAATTTTTAAAGAGTTCAAAAGTTTATAAAATGAATTTAACTGTAAATTTTATTTATACGAAATTACATTTTTTATTTAAATTAAATTCTATTTTTCTTAAATTAGATTACCGTAAAAAATCTATGTTAAAATAAAAACAAGGGAGTGTGCGACCTTCTTACGTAAGCATGGGAGGAGGTTGATATTTTCTAATTTTTGTTGACAAGGGAGAAGGTGAATTCAAAATTGGCAAAAACATGAATGCGTAATTTTTGAGCAGTCTCTCATTCCACTAACTCCATAGTAAGTGTTAAATTCCTTAAAAATTATTTAAAAAATTAAATAAAAAAAAATTTTTAAAAAAACTTTGAGGCATTTTTAAGCACTAGAACAGCTTAAAAAGCTAATAAAGGTTTACCAAGCACTAAAAGTAAATAAAGCAGTAAATCATAATGAAAATGAGAAGTTATAATATTTAATATATTTCAAAATCGCTTCATACCAATAAGACTTCTTAGAAAGAAAAATTTCGGCAGTGATATGAAATAAAAATACCTAAATAACAGGACAAACTTTTAAAAAATTTATCATAAATTATTAACTATAAAAATGCTTAACAAAATTTTCAAATTAAATCTTCTATGTATCATGTGCTATTAAAGAAAACAACAAAACTTTGTTGTACTTAAAGAAAACAACAACAAAAAAATTATTATTTTAAAAATCTATTTAATTTTTAACGAAATTATAAATTTTTAATATTATATTTTAATATTATAGTTGTAAATAATTTGCAATTTAACTTAATTTCATTTAAGCTTCCCGAAATAACTTTCAAATATTTTGTTTAATAACTATCACTGCAAATTTATCACCAATTAATTTCGTAATATTATCTTAATTCAATTTATTTACTTAGTGTTGATTCAGAAAGCTTTAAAGACTATAAATTCATTTAAAACACCGAAATAATATATTAAAAAAAATGAGATACCTTCAAAAATAATTCAAAAACGTGCATTCATTTTTTCAAAACCTAATCCAATTTCTAAATTTTCCCTTTTATTAGGGAAATTATTCCTAAAAGGGAATTCTTTTCCTAAGAGGGTGTGGCGCGCGGGGGAGAGGATGCAACACGTAGAACATGCTTTCTAAGCACTTGCAAATGCATGAATGAATAGCGATGTTTACAGAGAATAATCCGAACAGGGACTTACTTGCAACAAAGCAATCACTATCCGTGTATTTCCGGATTGAACCGCTATTGTACTGATAGTCGTGGTAGCCGGATTGTTCGAAGACATTATTCCATCCATATTTCTGCAGATGATTTCGGGGCTGGAAGCCGCCATTCGGCAAGCCCCTACGCGACTCGAAAGCAGACGATCAACTGGGTAGGTTTAAAAAGCGGGTCAGCTGGATACGCAAAGGAAAGTGGAAGAAAAAATCGCTTGCTGAGAGTGAGGTACGAAAGGAAGGATGACTTTGAACTGTTCTGTTTTCTCAGCGCCGTTCTTTTTCACCATCCTCGCCTCATCTCGCGCACCCCTCTTAGTATTCTGGGGATCGTCTGATAAAAAATGACGCCCACAAAGCACCCAGACCGAATTGGCCTATTCATAGCATATCTAAGGACTGGAATTTATAGGAGAAATAAATTTCTTTCATGCGAAAAAAAGTAAATAAAAAGAAAAAAAAATCTGTCACCCTCAGAAATAGCTACTGATACAGATTAGTTCTACATTCGAAAACGTTTATGCTCGTAAATTTCTGTTTTAGATAAGGAAACGAAGTGAGAAGATGAAATGAAAAAGTTCCGAGATTCGGAAGAAGAAAAAAAAAAAGAAATCTTCAAAGATTAGTTTTCTTCTTTCATTCTTTTCTTTTTTCTCCCCCTCCCCTTTTTAACGAGTCGTTATGAAATTAAAGCAAACCTTTTTTTTCCCCTTATTTTTTTTTACGTAAGTTTCCATATTAGCATGTCTGAAAAAAAAATTTTTTTAGAAAACTATTTTGTAGGGAAACTAATATTAATTTTTTTCGAAAGTATTTATTTGTATCAAAAATAAGAAATTTTAATTACTTTATTTTTCTTATTTACGTTTTTTCTAAAACATAATTTTATTAACGTGCACGATATCTTCTTACAATGAAAAAGTATACAAGGTGATTCTACGATCATGGACAAAAGCGTATGAAAACATATATGTTTTGCATAGGAATGTAGGGTCTAAAGCAGTGGTTCCTGAACTTTTTTGTCTCGTAGACCCCTTTCCATGTTTTTCGGTTTTTTAAATTTCTTAATGTAGTGTGAAAAACTTAAGAAAAAAACACATGTTAATTTTATACATTTATCAACTAAATTCAAACTAATTTAATTTAATCAATATGTAAATGGAATAAAATAGTGTACTGTAAAACCCGTACTTTGCTACTATTATAATAATGGAAATAAGTTTGCATACAAAACCGTAGTAGTGTATTGTCGGTCTGTTTATGACGTTTTCACGTAAAAACCAAACAACAAATCTCAGTGATCTTGTGCGCAGATAACTACTTTTATAAATTATAACTACTTTTATAAATTATGTAGAATGTAGATAGATATGTGTCTTTATATTATAAGGTAATGTAATGTAAGTAAATAGGTACTATCAGTGTATGTTGATTATTCCATTCATGAAATGCCAAAATTAAAAGTCACGACCTGCTTATATGAGATCCACTATCGTTGACCCCTATTTTCATTTCATGGACCCCCAATTTTTTTTTTCACTTGACATGAACCCCTTGCAGGTTGTCGTCGACCCCTGAGGGTCGATATAGACCCCTTTGGGAATCACTGGTCTAAAGTGATGTGATAAGGTAGGAGTACAAAAAATGACATGGCTGGAAAATGTATATTTATTTATAAAATTAACTCAACGTGCTTCTTCTCAGCAAAATATTATTCACAATAAATGCTCAAAAATTACGATCACTAACATGAAGGTAAACTACTGCTGTGATTGGCTAAGAAGGCAGCGGGTAGAGGGCGGTAATGAGCTTGGCTAACCGCGATCCGGTGCATCAATGTGATTCGCCATTGTGATTTCGAGCGTAGTGGTTGAGTTTACACATGGTGAAAACGCTGAACATTTATTGTGAATACTATATTGGTGCAAAGAAGCAGTTCGCATTGATTTTGTTAAAAAAAACACATTCTTAGAGATCAATGCGTTTTTCAAATCTGCATAACCATCGTCTTAAAATAATGTGAAATATAGGTATTATAAATATAACATTTTGGCTTAGAAGGGATTAAAATAAAAAATTATTTTAAAACGTTTCAGAACATGTTCTTCGTTCTATTTCACCATAATGCTTAAGAAAAAATTGACTTATCAACCAACCTATAATTTGGCTAGCTATCATGATCAGGACTACCCAACCTTAAAAGTGTTAAGCAGCGTTCCATGCACCCCCTCACCCCAAAAAAGAAACTGAGATAATGTAGCAATTGTTTGAACTATGGAGAACATTTTATAATGACATTTGCTGCGACGGCATTCACAACTTCTATAAATGATAAATGTTGAAAGTTTTTGTATAAAATGCAGTAAATTATCATTACTAACCAGTGAGAGACACTATATCTGTGCATTTCCATCTCATGTGTTGTCGCTAATATGTTGGGAAAGAGGAGTAGCAAAAGTGATGAGAATATCTCGGATTTTGAGTTTTGTTAACTTTTTCAGCAACAGTTACCACCATGAAACGCGAACTACAACAATTTTCTAGCATTGTTCATGTTTAATCTAAACACCAACAATCAATTACTAAAAAAAAAGTAAACTATGTACTCACTTCTTTCAGTTTCTCTTCTAGTTGCTTTAATTTCTCATCATTAGAATCACTGGCCTGTTTGATTTGTGGAGTGACACTTTGCCATTTTTCGGAACGGTTTATTCCAAAAGACTGCTGTTGAAAGGAAATACTTGTCATGCTATGAGATTCAGTGACTTCTTTGGAATAAATAACTTTCGATACATCTGTTCTATTTTTATCGCCATCTTGCTTGGACCCCGGATAAGAAGAAACACCATAGCTGACAGTTTCGGACTTACCAGCGTGAGAGCTATCAGAAGATTTCTCTTTTTCTGGAACGTTCTTGAAATATTTTGATTTCAAACCCTCTATTTCTGACAACAAACTTGCTTTGTCAGACGTAAGGGGTGAGCCTTTTGGAAATTCTTCTGCGTATGACATTTTTTGAATGCCCCCATGTGGTTCATCCACAAGCGTAACCTTATGAATCTTCTCAGACGTAGTTGGCATTGTTGATTGTGAATCCGTAACCGTCTGCGTTTTAAACTTTTCTTCAACACCACCGGCCTTGACCACCGTTTGTATTTCGTATGATTTCTTTACTTCAGTTTTAACCTCTTTGGCTTCCTTCTTTGTGATCACAGAAGAGTATTTTGTGGGTTCATAAGAGGTAGCCAATTTCGGTGATACAGCAACAGCCACTTCGGTTCCTTTTGTTTGATCACCAGCTGTTGAAATGTGTGGAAATTGGCTGCCAGTACCAATAGGATTGCTATCGGCAATATTCGACTGGCAGATGGGTGAAGTATGACTTCCTGGTTGTACTGTTGATGTAAACTTTTTCGTTTTTGGTTCATGCGTCCCAGTAACAGCTGCATACTCTTTGACTTCTGTCGTTTGTACGGCTGGCTTGGAAGTAGTAACAGAAGATTGACCATTCAATGGTAAATCTTCCACGTTGTCATCAGACACATATTCTTCTGGAATGTCATCATCGATAGATTTAAAATCATCTAAAGTAGCTTCTTCTGATACAGCAGAGCACCAATCATCTACACCAGAGATGCTTGTACTCCGCCAAGTATCGGGAGAACGAGCAGATACATATTCTGAGGCTGATTCGATACTTGCAGGCTCCTCGTTGAAATAAGAACTTTGGACTTGCTGAAGATTTTTCTCTGCGTCTGACATGGTTTGCTGGATACGAACAGCCGCACTGCTTGAAAGCAAATTCACCCTGAAAATTTTATATTCTTTAGTAAATGTTTAGTAAACTCCAAATTTAAATTCATTCTATCATACAAGCTATAAACATCCGAGATTAAATTAGATTTACCCTTTGACGCATATGGGACACCGGTGTCTTTTTTTATATATTTTTTTCTCATACAAGTAAAAATATATTTTAATTTTTTTTTAAATTATAACAAAAATGTGAAATAGTTTTTTTTTAAAAAAAAATTCTGTTAAATTATCGGACTTATATTTACACTAAAATACAAAGCCCAAAAAAAAGTAGTTAGAAATTTCTTTCATTCATATTTAAAAATTCATCAATAATTGATTTGGTAAATTAAAGAAATGTCAATGTTAAATTGTTGTTTCTCTTAGATCTAAATAGCTGCAATTAAATGAAAAAATTTGAAAAATTATTGTTTAGAAGTGAGCCATATTTCAAAGATTTCACCTTCAACGCAGAAAAAAGCCACCGGTGTTTCATAATCAAAAATTATTATAACACTAAATATAATATGTGACTTAGTTCGACCTAAATTAATACAAATTGAAGAAAAAAAGGGGGGAAATATGTTTAATAGAACTTTTGCGATAAAGAGTTAAATACAAATTTACTAGTTATCATTTTTTAAAATGAAAGTAAAATTAACTCATTTAATTGACACGTAAAAAAAAAAGAGTTTTAAAAAAATCTTAATTTTGTTTCTATTCGTCTCATCTTTACGATTTAAAGGAGCTTTAGGGTTCCACATGTACATATGAAACCCTTGTGGTTAGCAGTTATAGAATACATTTCTGCAGAGTAGAAAAGAAGCTGAAAGCTCTAATCCAGTCACAAGAAAAAAGTTAAAAGCAAACTATACGAAAAATATTATGCCAATGGAAAGTTTAGAAAGACCTACAGCAATCAATTTAATAAACTTCAAAACAATTTGATTTCTTTTCTCTCTGTACATCAGAAGTTTTCAATAAATGACGTCACACTTTTTTCTAATATTTTTGACCCCCCCCCCTTACCTTTATCACAAAGTATTATCAAAGTATTACCATCACTATATTACCAACCCCATAAACATATTCTAATAATTCAGAAAAAAACACGTTATGCATCATATTTCAAATTTTACTTTTAAAATTAAACTAAGCTTCTTAGAAAACTTGTTAGCAGAATTCTAATAATTATTGAATGTGTACTTGTTTTTATGTAATGAAAGAAAGGAAAAATATTCAAAACAAATAATATTTAAACTGATTTTTAATATTTTTATTTTAACCAAAATGTGGGACGTTACATTTGTTATCATCTTCTCAATTACCCCTGTTATCAACTGTCATAATTTCATGAAAACCCTTTCCCCCCTCCAAGTGAGATATCATTTATGGTACACTCCTTATTACAGAAGATGGTTAAAGTAAGGTAAACACCACTTATAAATTTTTAAAAACCATATCTTTTAATGCAGCAGCTCTAGAAGATTTTTTTATGTTAAAACTGTTGGCATGTTTTGAAAGATTATGATCAAGACTGTCTAAAATTAATGATCATGATGAAGATTATGATCAGTGCCTAATGTATCTATAATAAGCTTGCACTAATTAGAGCAATAAGATCCTTGTATTTTTAAATTGCATAAATATGGGTTTTATTCAACAATTGATCACTTTAGTTTACAAAATTCATTTGCATTTTTATAAATATGCAGACAAATTTTGTATGCTATACATATAGATTTAAAAAGTGGCTTATTAGCATGGATATATAAACCTAGAAAAATTAGTTCAAAAATCTTAATTTTTTGTTTATACTTATAAGGGCATCAAAATTTTCGATGCATACGATTATTTTCTGATATTTTATCCATTTTCAAACAATTCTGGAGGCGTAAAAATAGTGTGCCTATTATTTTTTATTATTTTTTTTTATTATCAAAAGTTAAAGGGTTTAGAGATCTATCCATATATATATATATATATAAATGACAGATTTCTTAGTGAAAGTTACGCATCGAATATTTTATGATGTCAGCATAATTTGTATCTACCAGTCATTGCTAGGTTTTGAACCTAGGTGACTTCATTGGAAGGTGCTTGCACTGTCTTCTACGCAGCTCTAGTGCTCCATTATGAAAACAATGTGATAGTAAAAATTTCGTTTAAACACGGTGTCTGTCAAAAACGTCGTATCACANCCCCCCCCCCTCCCTGATAGTTGTTAATTGTTGTCGAATTAGTTGAGTATATAACCAAGTATATAGTTGAGTATATGACCAAATCATTTAATTAATGAGTCATTATAAATGCATCATTATAAGTGTGTTCAAATCAAAATTAAACCGAAATGTTTGCACAAATTGTAATATTGAATATAATTTGTATTGTATTGTATGATAGAGTGTTATAAGAGTGATTTATTTTTAATTAAACGGTCTCTGAGAATATTAGCCCTTAATTCCATAATAATATATTTTAAATTTATTCAATTTATAAATTTGTTCAAATTTATTCAGTCAGTTTACCTTCAAATAAAACCTGTAAAATCTGCAAAGAAAGAAGAGAATGACAGAGATAGATACATCTTGCAAATTTTTGATCTAATAATAGGATTTTCAAGTACTGAGGTGATACATCTGTATGGTTCAATAGACAAGTCTCAAATACGCCAAATATTTTTTTTGTCTCAAATATTTATTTATTTATTTATTGAATACACATGCCTTTTTTCGGATAGATTTCGAGCCTTGATTTTTAAAATATGGAGCCCCAAATTTAATGATCATTTCATTTTTTTCACACTGTATTGAATAGTAACAAGATACTTATTTTTTATTTAATTTTTTTCTCTCAAAAACTATTTGATAATTTTTGTTAAAATTTTGGGTTTTCTCAATTCAATTGCATTGAAAACAAATAATAAAAATTTTTTAATATTATGTTTAACACATATTTTGACCATTCGTAAAATAAATGAATAATAAAATTTTAAGAAGAATTATTTTTGCACAAAAAAAAAAAAATTCTATCATTTTGTTCTAAATAAATTGTATAGTTACATAAAATAGTTTAAGAAATATGGGGACATGAGCAAAAAACTGAAATTATTATTTAGGGGACAAAACTTTCAACCTCTTTCCTGCTTAAATTATTGGGACCATATTATAAAAAGATAACATTGATCTGGTTCATTTTTTATTTAATCTATTTTTTATTAACATATTAAATAAGAGAAATTTATAAATTGCATTGTTAAATTGTTATCAATAAATCAATTAAGGAAATTAAAAAAATAAAATCTTAAGGGTATAAACATTTTTTCTCATTTTCATTTACTATTTGACCATTTTGTTTTAACGCTTCTACGCATTGTGGATAAGGAGCGCCTTCTGTCGGTGTTTTCAGAAATTAAAATCATGCAGCTAACGTAAAAATTTTAGTTCAAAAGTTATTTCTTTATTTGTTTTAATTACGAATTTTCTTTTTACAAGAAGGGGTAATTTTTTAGATAAGCCTAGTTTCATAAAAAGGAATATATTTATTAACTATCCAAAAAATGAATCTAAATAACAACAAAGTTTGAATAATAAGTGTTGGCATTAATTTAGAGATATTTTCCATTGATAAGCTCACAATTTTTTTTTAAGGTATATTGTTAAACGATTTAAAATGCGATATTCTGATTCTTGGTTTAATTTTAAACGGAGGAATTTACGCTAGAAGTTTTCTCAAAAAATACACATTCTTCTGAGGTAATTTGAGGGGTTACATAATAATTAAAAACATTAATTTCTTTCAACTTTATTGTTTCATATTTCAAACATTTTTTACTTGATTAATGGAGTAAATTATGAGAAACTAAATAAGAATCTGGTCAATAATGGAAATCTATTATTAGTTAACTGGGAGAAAAAAAAAGCTACTACACTTTCGATTTTAATTTTCATCCAATTTACATAAACGCTACTAATTAATTATTTTACCAGCTTTATATAGTAGAATTAGAAAGAATAAATTATTTTATCAAAGTATCACACTGATATCACACCAAAACATCACATCGATATCAATTGCAGATTGCAAAAAGGTTTTCAATCAGTTCGATTTTGGCATTTAATTAGACAAACGCTGTGCATAAAAAAGACATACTCTGAGCCCGGAAATTTACGTTAGTTATATTAAAATTAAGAGTAAATTGAGCAAAATTTCAGTGGATAATTATAAATAATAAATTAAATTTAAAAGATATCATTAAAATTCGGATAATGTATATCCATAAGTCATTCAACCACTCAGAATTTCAACTTGTACTTATAAAAAAACGTTCTTTGCTGTTGAGTTATGGAAAAATTAATCAAGCACCATTTTTAGTATTTTGATGAGCAAAATCAGCAATACGGTTTACGAAAATGCTAAACATTTATTTTCTAAATGAAATATTTCGAAGCATTAAAAAAAAAGGAAAGTAGCCTGAAAGGTCTCTAATTTTAAGGCCTCTAAGTAAATCAGATTTATTTAATTTAACCAGGGAATATTATGAAGAGAAATGATGAATTTAGCAGTTCTTCAATTTAATTGGCATGAGGAGAAAAAAAATTATATTAAAATTACCGTACAAGTAATAATGACATTTCAGGTAAAGAAACAATCAAAGCAAAAAAGCCTAATTTCGGTTAATGCAACTAACATGTACGATAATTCATTTAGTAATTTTTCATCATGATTTATTGATTTTTCCGTTCGTATGGTAACGATTAAACGAAAATTCTGGTTTTCAAAATTATACTTCTTTTTACCATACATTTGTTAAAAAAAAATGCAAAACGTAAAAGTAAATTTCAGCGGAATGTGGTTTTTATACCATGCTCTGAGGCATCATTATATCAAATTTTACCACATTTACGAATTTTATCACTTATTAAGAGACCATGTTTTATTGTTAATATTATCAATATTAATATCAACGCAATTTGGTACAAATTACCGAATTTATTGGTACTCTTCTTGAGCCAGAAACACGCGTAAATTTTATCATATTCAGGTAATTTTGACCTTACTTTTTTTCTCAAAGCAGACCAAGAACGCTCTAATGATGTTATAAACAATACATTTTTTGCTAAATTCGTAGTCGATAAGAAATCGCTACAAGTTGGGCGTAATTTTCATATTTTAAAAAGTATAAAGGAAAATGATATATGTACCTTAACTTAATCCATCGGGTTTTTTTTCAACAAAAAACATTTAGTTAGCACAACCGACTTGTGTACAAGTAAAAGCATCGAAACGAAACTCACTTAATTATTGAACTTACTCACTTAATTATTGAAAATAATAACAATTTCATATTAATCGTAGACCTAGCTAACGAAGTTCCTATGTTACTTGATTAATTTTAGTAGCGGTTAAAACCTGACTTATGAAAATCATTATGAACAAATTAGACAAAGACGTATTAGCAAACTAAACATATAAGCATTAAATGATATAAAAAGAATATTGTATCAAAGTGGTTTACACAATGTACTCACAATTCCAAAACATCGTCGTGTGGCAGGAAAGGGAAACAAAGTTAGACTCAATTTAAAACGTGGCTGGCGCTCAGAAGAGTGATTCCTGCCAGACGCGTGTTTCTATCTTTGTACACTCCAAGAACTACCCCTCCGCGCTCATGGAGGAAACGGTATTTTAATGAAGTCAGGCACCCTTATTCAAGAGTTTCCCTCACTAGAGACCCTGCTTATAAATCCTTACAAATACCTTTCCTTTTTTCTAATATTAGTTTAATTGCTAGGACAAAGAAACCGTCTGTTAAGTGAGAGGAATGCTTGTTGAGACGTTTTGAATTTAATGTTTCCTTTATTCTACACCTTTCGGGATATAATATAGTTGTTGGCGGTGAATCTATAATGGTTAGAAGAGCCATTTTAAAGACAAGTGACAGTTTTCTGACTGTTTTTTGTTAGTTCTTTCCTTGTTTTGTCCAGTTGCATAACACTCTCATATAAATCGGTTCCGCATTAAGTCTTATCTGGAAAAATTGCTGCACTGTAAAAAATTTCGGATCAAATTACAGTATAAAGAATCGGCATTCCGGATGTTCCTAATTTTTACCATAAAATCCATTTTTATCACACATACCGTAATTTTCTCAACAACAACTACGGTAAAATCACTGAATCATTCTAATTAAACAAATATTATTGTAAAAATGACTGTATAGTATTTCACTGTATAGTACAGTAATGTATAGTATAGTAATGACTTTATAGTATAGTAAAAATAGATGTTACGGATGATCCCGCAGTGGACTGACCGCAAAAGAGACGGTTCCTTGTAGAACACCGAAGTCAAGCGCTACTGGTTGCTGTCAGTAAGCGGGTGGTTGACCACGTAGATCAGCTTGCGTAGGGATCGACCGAGTGTGTGCGACAAAAATTCGTAAAAAAAAATTTTAAACTGCTAGTGGATGTAGTGTAAAGAACTTGTTACTGTCCAAAACCATGAAAGAATGTAGAAACTCAGAAAAAGGAACACATTTATTACAAGGTAATTATAATATTAACTTAAAATAGGGTTCTTGTAAGGTATCAATGGTTAGTATGGTTTCAATATCATCCACATATGATTAAAAGTCATTAAAATAAGAAAAGTCAAGTACCAGAAGTCAGGGCTAAAGAGAATAGAAGGGCTAGTTCACTCCTCTTAAGGCTTCTATACTATCAGAGCTGACCTATCAAGCAATATTGGAGCAAAAAAGTTTGCAAGTTAACGTTATGTTAGTATTGTGCTTATGTTAGCTCTTTGGAGCAAAAATAGATGAAGAGTCGGCCTGTCTAATTCAGGGGCTCTAACTCCTCTCTTAGAGCTGAAGCTACGATTTCCCTCCTCATGACGTCAATGTGTCCACAAATCTCGGAGATCGCTAGCAAAGATATTATGATATTACTCTTTGTAAAAATAAGTTAGACATTTTCTGGTTATTATCTTTCAAACTTTACGTAATTAACACTTTATTTCCGTTCATAAACATAGTTCAAAAAAGCTTTCTTGGCCATTATATTAAAGAAATACCATTTTATACTTATAAAAATATTTTACTAGTTGGCGAAAATGACACTATAAATACTTTATTTTAAAAAGTTCTGTTTTAACTTTAATTATTAAGAAAAATTAAAGCATATATTGGCACTTTTTAATCTACATATTTTGTTATAACAATAAGTTGAGTTAAATTTAGAATCCCTAATTTTTAAATATGCCGTTAAAAGCAATTTGTTCATACTTAATCATTAGGAAACATCAACCTTATACGCTAATTACTGAAACAAAATAATAATTTAAGTTCATAAGGACGTTATAAATTTTGCAATTGTTTATAGATATTTAAATTTACGATGATATAATTTATAGATATTTAAATTTAAGAGAATGTAATTTTCAAAGTAATCATGAATATTTAGAATAACTACATGAAAAATATGTTATGAAATTAGGAGAATTTCAACTATATATTTTATTTATACTTTTTATTTACATTTTAATTTTCTTTGACTTTATCTATTTTTTAATTTTTTTCACCTTTCTTTTTGAAGTAACGAGGCGGTTTCTATTTAGATAATGAATTTTTATAAAAGTTCTTAATAATAGAATAAACGTATAGCTGTTTTATATTAACTGTGTCATTTCGGAATCTATTCTTTACATAGTTGTTCGTTTACTTTAAGGAACACGTTTTTCCTTTTGTTTTTTTTTATCAGAATTTTTGCAAGTTGCAATCGCGCAAACTGGCATTTCGATAATAGTTTTAAATTTCTGTAAATTCACTGCAGAAACTGAGGAAAGTCATTATAGAAAATAACAAATGTCTTAGAATATGTCACAAAAAGAAATGATCCAATATTAGTTAGAGCTAGTAAGGCCAAACGCTCCGTTCTTGAAGTAAAAGTGCGAGCTTTGCGCCAAAGTGACGTCACTAGAGAAAATCGGAGGATTGGCGAGGCGAGAGTTTCTTCAAAGGAGTGAACCAGCCCTTCTGTTCTCTTTAGCCATGACCAGAAGTACTATCTGTCAATTGCAGTCCTAGAAACAAACTCTGTAACTCTCGGACTCAGCGATTCTCGAATCAAACTCTGTTACACTAGAGTCTAACTCTGTTGTACTAGAGTTAAAACTCTGTTACATTAGAAGTAAACTCTGTTACATTAGAAGTAAACTCTGCTACACTACAGTTAAATTTTGTTAATTATTTGCTATCCCCAAAGTTTTGTTCACCTATGGCGAGATGGCGAGTGGAAATTTAGCGCCCTGGCTAGTATCATATTTACAATAAAAATTATTCTAATCAAAACTCCAATAAAAAACAGCATCCAAATAATAGTTACAATGAAACGAATCCAAATTAAAATTTATGTTGCACCAAGTGCTAACGATTAAATCTGTAGAGCAAAATAAAATATCCCAATTACACTGCGTCAAACGTAAAGAATCATATTTACAGTAAAACAAAAATCAACGCTGTACCGAATGTTAAGTATCATATTTTCTGATATAAGTATTTAAATTGAAGCTCACATTGCACCAAATGTAAAACACCACATTACTAAGAGTTCGAATTTTAGTTCGACTTTTTGAAGTGTAACTTGCTTGCAATTATATATACACTATCTACCAATAAGTATTTGGACACCTATGCAAATGACTATATCTGCGGTCCTGAGATACGTCACGCCCTCCACCGATATATATCGTGTAGGGGAACAACATCGGCATTAGTCCCATGCAAGATGCCAACCGTACTATTTTGGATGACAATGTGCTTCCTACGTTGTGGCAGTTTTACGGGGTGGACCCCTGTTACTTCCAAGATGACAATGCCAGCTTACATGTTGCGAGGGTCACCAAGGCTTGGTATGGTGCCAATGGGGTTAATCGAATGGCCTACTCAGACCTGAACCCTATCGAGAACCTCTGGAACGAGTTGGATCGTCGAATTGGGTGTACTACCCTGAACAGTCAGTGACGGAACTTACATGTCTTCTCCAAGCCGAGTGGAAGAAAATACCACCAGCCGTCACATAAGGACTTGTGGAAAGTATGCCCCGGAGAGTTCACGCTGTAATTGCCTCTCGTGGATGCTCTACCAACTATTGATTATGAATAAAGTTAGTTTTTCTTTTCAATCCCACGTGTCCAAATACTTATTGGTAGATAGTGTATATCTCTATTAACTTTTTAATCTTATCGTATTTTACTGTCTTTAACTTATGATACTTACTCGTGATATGAGATAAGAGGTTTTTGCATCAAGTGCAAAAGTCTTTTACCAGTTTCTATGCTTTGTTGCATAGAAACCATAACCCTAAACCAGCTTCTTCTGTGTCTCTTCATAACGATCTGTTGTCTAATTTCTCCAAAAATAGATAAACCAGAATGGATAGTCTTTTTCAAATCCTCTAAATTTTTCAAATTCTGTAAAATAAATAAATTTAGTTTAAAAGGTTTAAATTTTTTTATCTTTGAGTTGCAAATTAATGCAATTGATATTCACAATAATTTATTACTCTTAAGAAGTACTCTTTAAATAGAATCTGAAAGATAAATTACTGGTTTCAAATTTGCCCCATAAGCGAATCTTTGAATTTATTTAAAACTAGCCGCCTGAGGCGGCCAGCTGTCCGCCACGCTAAAGGTTTTCACAAATAAAGTTTTTTAAAACATAGCAGGAAATCTGAAGATTAGTGGACAATTAAAGTGTTCCTGTCCTGCAATTTTGTCTTCATATCCAGTTCTGCTGCAGATGTGTTATAGCTCTTGAGGATGTTTGAAGATGTAACTTTGCTATGGTAACCTAAGGCCTATGGTAACCTAACCTATAATATAACTATCAGGTGGAGACTTGTTTTTTTTTTTTTTTTTTTTTTTTAAAAAAAAGGCCTCAGAAATTGTAAAAGCATACAAAAGTTGTTTTCGAAATCATCATTGACCAATAGCTGAAAACCTCTTCTAATCTTCGTTGACGTTTCTTTGATACTTCTTGGGCTCTAGAATTGCTTGTCGAAATTCGGTCATGTTCCATCCTTCTTTGACGTTCCACAGACGTTTCTTGGGCCCTTCTTCTTCTTTGAGAATCTCTCAATATCTTTTTCTTTGACTAAATACAAAGTTTTTTGTAGGCGGCTCTGCCATGTCAGTAATCGGGTTTTTAAGAAGTCAACGAATACTTTAGAACAACAATTACTATGAAAGCAAATCATGAAACTTCAATATTAAAATCTAAGTGCTTATCTGCAAACTGAAAGTTTCTGAAAATAACTAATTACATTTAATAAAAATTGTTAAAATGAAGAATGGAGAAACCAAAGAGATCCACGGTAAGTGTGATCGTTCTTTCAAAAACAATTAAATTCCTATTTTATATATTGTATAGCTACAACGCTTAAGAGAAAAAAACTAAAATGCTAAATACATGAAAAGAACACGAAAACGAATTAATTTTTTATGGTATCTAATTCTATTTCCATATAATTTTTTATGGTATCAATTTCTATATATCAAAGCGAAGCGTTCTATTTACGTATCGAATATGCTGGCACATTTTTAATACAAAAGCTAAACTTTTCTCTACTTTGATAAATGTAAACTAATGCGAACCTTACAATTAAATTACGTGACTTTTTTTATTTTCATGGTTTAAGTTGTCGAAAATTAATATTTCAATTGTAAGATTCGCATTAGCATACATTTATAAGAGTGGCGAAAAGTATATGCATTTTTTAATAGTTTTTTGAATATGGCTCTTTGAAGACGAAAAAGCATAGATTTTCTTACAAAATGACTGATAACTAAAAAACTAATCCAAATTTTTGAAAAAGAAAAAAAATACTTTTTCATTATGTCAAAACACAATTATGTGCCGAGTTTCGTGCCTGGATGAGGCTTCTGGGGCGATATATTGTGATTACAGACACACACACAGCCACGTTTATTATTATGAATAGATATATATTTTTTAATGTAAAATTGAAATAATTTCGATTAATAAAATTTTAATTTTAAAAGAATGAATAAAAATATAATATATAAGTAATATAATATATAGAAGTAAAATATCTTTCTTAATGTCAGTGAAATTTTCGTAAATTTCTAAATCTGAATGTCGATATATATATTACTGGCAAAGCTGGAAATCAAGCATTATGTACAGCGCCGAAAATCGTCGAGAAAAGCATTAAATTATTAAATATTTCTCTTATTGCCAAGGCATTGTATATGTTATCGGCAAAGTATGAAACGCCGGCATTGTATAGAATGCCGGATGTTTTTAGGCAAAGTATGAAATGTGAGAAGTATTACATACTTTCTCTAGTCATTGAATAGAATGCCTAGGCATTCTCTAGAATGCCAAATGCTATTTAGGCAAAGTATGAAATAAACGTCCTGATGAGGTTATTATGTAAATAATGTGCATGTTACTGTGAATGACCGAAATCGGTGGCTGTTGCCCTTCACCGGTAAATGTTGACGCTTATATAGTCGCTTTTTATAACAACCAATTTGATATTAATTTATTCGTGGATATAATTACATTTATTCGATATTTTAATACTTACCGGCAATACTTACTGACGATAAGATTAGAAGAAACATCAGTGTTTGGAGTATCGGGCAAATGCATACTGGGCAATGGCACTTGACCTTAAAAAAACATCAGTGTAGGGTATACCGGGCAAATGTATACCGGGCAGTGGCACTTGACCTTAAAAAAAAAGTGTAGGATATACCGTTCAAATGTATACCGGGCAATGGTACTTAACTAGACCTAGTATGACTAGACCTTTGGTAAATGTCTGAAATATATACTAGGTCTTGTGCCACTGCCCGGTATACATTTGCCCGGTATATCCTACACTGATGTTTTTTTAAGGTCAAGTGCTATTGCCCGGTATACCCTACACTGATGTTTTTTTAAGGTCAAGTGCCATTGCCCGGTATGCATTTGCCCGGTATACCCTACACTGATGTTTTTTTAAGGTTCAGTGCCACTGCCCGGTATACCCTACACTAATATTTTTTGAGGCCAAGTGCCACCGCCCGGTATATATTTGCCCGATACTCCAAACACTGATGTTTCTTCTAATCTATCGTCAGTAAGTATTCGAAATATCGAATGAATGTAATTATATCCACGAATAAAATAATATCAAATCGGATGACGTTTTGAATTTGTCATTTTTAAATGACATTTTGACGAATCGGAGATGTATTTTATACTTTGCCGGTTTCTCATTTGGCATTCTAGAGAATTCCTAGGCAATGTGTGAAATATAAATCCTTTCATACTTTGTCGGCTAATTTTAGGCACTCTATACAATGCCTAGGTATTCTATACAATGCCGGATTTAATACTTTGCCCGTAACATATACAATGTAGAATGACAAACTGGCTCAGTAGAAAGTATGGTTAACGGGATTAAATGAAATGTAGGGATATAGGCAGTATTGCTCAATATTCCTTACACTTATGTTTCAAGTTTAAGGACCATTGTCTAGTATTCAACACACTGATTTTTTTAATCGAGTATTAAAGCATTAAATCTCTAAGTATAGAAAACAAAACCATCACCCACTCACTAACTTATCAGTAATTTTCCCACTTTCCGAGAAGTTAGTTAAAATGTGGAATATATGTTCTTTGTAAGATAAATAGAAAAACTTTAAAAAAGTGTCATTTCTATCTTTCGAAATTATTGAGGTGATTAGCCTAAACTGCTTAGCCCAATGCTGTGCTTCCAAGAGTTATTATTTAAAATTCATCTGCGTAATAATATTTGATGAAATGGATTTCAAAAAACTATGTAGTAATAAGCAACAGTAACTGCTAAAAAAAACCACAAGAATTTACGATAAAATCGCTGTTCTCATATGTGGGATTCATGAGTCATGTTTTAAAAATATCAGGATTTTTAAAATAACGAGGCGTATTCAATAAAATAACAAAAATAAAATAAAAAAAATGAGGGAGATGCCTTCATTGACTAGGGGAGAGTGGGATCAATTGTAACAGGGTACGATAGTAACAGAGCAAAAATTTCGAGTGTCGGGTTCTAGATTTGGTTCCTAGATGGCGCACAAGGTGTATTTAATAAATCTACATGTACACCCCTGATGGCAACCATTTTTATGTACTTTTGAAAGAGTTACATCACAAAAGATATTTTCACGCTACGTAAGTACTTTTTTGGTATTAGAATATTATATTGTAACAAAGTAATTTTGTTTAAACAAATAAAAAATTATTAACCGAATATGTAAGTGGACACTTTAATTAACATTTCAAGAAAAAAAGATTAGTTTTGTTTACTAACTAGCATTGTTTTTAACAAATGAAGCTGAAATGGCGTCTTGGGGACGATTGTAACAATAAGTAAAGGGACGATTGTAACAGCTGAAAATAAATAATCTTATGTTTACAAACCATTACTTAACTCTTTAAGAACCACCAATAGTTTTCTATATCATTTATATTATGCTGCATGTGCATTATTTTATTTGTTACCTTTCACAGCATAAATTAAAATTTTTGACCCCTTAAAGTTAAAAGTTTATTAACCCTTTAGGTCTCTGCTCATTATTAGTTTTACTCCTAAAATATCACTAATATTTTGATCAATAAAAAAATATATCACAAGTATGATAATATGTATAATTAACTACGTTTTAGTTGAATTTATGAACTGTTACAATTGATTCCATAAGTGGGGACAATTGTAACAAGTGCACGACTGTCAAAAATTGTTAATAACTAATATAATAACATTTAAAATAAGGTATTTATTTTTTTTTCTAGTAGAGGATAGTCTACTTTACTCGTCTGTCAATTAATACTAATAATATATTAGATTTTTTGTGAGTTAAAAATAGTTAAGTAAAAAATATTACAATTGACCCCACTCTCCCCTACCACTAATTTTTGCCGGTTGACATCAAATTCTAAGTGCCCGGACAAACAGTGCAAATAGTGGCAATCGATGCATCCATTAGTAGTATAACACGTTTATTAATAGGTTTTTAGATTCATCAACACGCATTCAAAAGTTTTTGAAAACTACTTAGATATTAAAAGGCTTTAAGTATCGTAAGAGAAGCATATTCCACGTTTTGAACAAATAAAAATATCTTGTTTGAAATATGTGTAAATGAAAACCGTTTTATTTCAGGTAGCTATAAAATCACACAATTGTTGTACGTTATAAAAGACAATTCTTTGATCAGTTCTGAGAAGGGTTGAATTAATATAAAGTCAATTACTTAAAAAAATACATTGGTGCAAACCTATTCTGTAGGCAAAAATAGCTTTCAATCTAAATATGAATGATAGATATTGTCAAACACTTTTTTGCATACCTTTGTGATATTACGATAAAAATTTTGGCAAAGATTCAGTCTTTCGGCACAGCCTTTAAATATCTTCAAGAACTCGTCCCACGTGTTAATAAGCTCGGAGTGTAGTTGTCCGTCTCCGTAATTCAAATCATTTTTCAAACCTCTTTGGAGCATCAAAAATTTTGTCCCAATATTGAAAGACTCCTGAAAAAAAAAAAGGTTTTGTTTTCATGGTTTAAATATACTTGAGAAAATTATTAATACAATTTATGTACATCTCATCTTATACAACAGCAATATGCCCTCTAGTAATATTTAAAACGTGCTTTAATTTTCCGTATAAGAAATTGGAATAAAACATTAAAATATAAACTATCTCAAACCGAATAGGTAATTTCAACCAAGCCACCCGATGACGTTGAAAGATGATAACTTGAAATTGCGATTCGACATTTCCGTGTTAATTTCGTACTGAAATATAGAAAAACGAGTAAATTAAATTTTGTGTCAACAAAATAATAAGAATTATATGTTCTTAATCACAGCGATTGCGAATTTTTTTAATAGGTAACTTCAACCAAGTCACCCGATTACGTCGAAGGAAGATCACTTGAAATTGCGATTCGACTTTTCCATGACGTGTTAATTTCGTACTGAAATATAGAAAAACGAGTAAATTAAATTTTGTGTCAACAAAATAATAAGAAACATATGTTCTTAATCACAGCGATTGCGAATTTTTTTTAAAGGGTAACTTCAACCAATTCATCCGATTACGTCGAAGGAAGATCACTTGAAATTGCGATTCGACATTTCCATGACGTGTTAATTTCGTACTGAAATATAGAAAAACGAGTAAATTAAATTTTGTGTCAACAAAATAATAAGAAACATATGTTCTTAATCACAGCGATTGCGATTTTTTTTTTTTATGTGCATTCGAGATTTTGCAATTTTCCTTCAAACTTCAGCTCATTTTTTTTTCTCCACTCAAATTTATAAATTTGAGTGGACATTATTACGCGTTATCGCAAATACTCAGATAATATGCAAATTTAATTGTAGAATCATAGCACATTGAAAATTTACATAGATTTTTATTATTTCGAAATTTCTTTCAAAATTGATATAATACTTTATATTGCAATAAGTATTTCATTCATTTATGTAGGGACTGACATTTTTATTGGCTACCAACATTTTTAAATTTTTTTGATCCCTAGTTGCAACTAGTTTGCTTAATTTTATGTCAATTTTGTTTCCAATACATTTAGTGTTTTAGTGTTACATTTAGTTTTTTAGTGTTTTTCTCATAATTTTTGCGTTATAAAAAACCCTTCAAAAATTAATTTTACAAATTTGCATCACGAAACCAAATATATTTTGGCATAAATAAATTCTTAGGACGAAGTTATACATAATGTTCCTTAAATTTGAGCAAAATTACATCATTATAGAATTTGGAATATTTAATAATAATTAATCGAAATAAATTTTTTACGCCTTAAACGACACATTGAAAATTAATTTTACAAATTTGCACCTAATATTTTTGGAACTAATATTTTTGGGTGTAAATAAATTCTAAGAAAACTTTTTATAAAATAATGCCATATGCAAAAATAAATAATTGTCAAAACATTAGACAGAAATGGAACCAAAATTTTTCAATCTCAAACGACATTTTAGAAATTAATAATAGACTTGACAGAAATACATTTATGCGACAAAAATGCATTGTTGTGCTCAACGTTATTTGTTTAAAAGTTTAAAAAAATTATACTTTTTCAACTTGTTTTCTAATAACAGAAATTATTTAATAACACAACATTCTATCGGTTAAATTAAGTAAATCGGTTAAAATTCAAAAAATTTGTGAGACATTTGTTTCAGATGATTTTAAAAAGAGGTATTCTATTATTATTGTTGTTTGTCGTTCTTTTATTAACATTTCGCACCCTTGCTACAAAAGTGCCACAACTCAAAAAACTACGTTTTCCAGGAATTGCAAAAAACTGTTCCCGGGCTGACTAGACACATTTTAGTATTTTTGAATTTGTCAATATGAAGACCGATACATCTCAAACTATGATCGTTAGTCATTGTTCTAGTTTTCCCATCTTTCCGACTCAAAATTCAAATTTCTCAAGTTACGACTGTTTTGATTTCTCACGTACAAACAGACGCCATAACAACAAAACGCTATAACTGCTCTCTGGCGGCTGATTTTTCAATGCAACTTCTGGCTCTTTTGAAGATTGGTAGAGACGTGTAAACTACGTCTAATGACGGTCATAACTCAAAAATTACAATTTTTGAGTTGTGGCACTTTTGTAGCAAGGGTGCGATTTGTTCATGCGCTGTTTAAAATAACATAATGAACTTTATGAAGTATTTTAAATTTAATTAAAAACGTATTGAACAATGAAAGAGCAAATATTTGTGTTTTTACTTTATTATGTTTGCCAAGAATTTATTTAGAAAAATAGGTCTCTCTTTTTCTCTTATATTTTTTTCTTAAGGAAAATATCACACATCGGACATGCCTTAAGGAAAATATCACACATCGATTAACCAACATAACCCTGAGTAATTGTTTAATCACAGCGTGAGATTTGAATTGCAAGAAAATTAAATGTTTTCAGTAAGTCAATATTTTATTTGGGTTAACAATATTTCAAGGTTATGCTTACTGGAATGAATATTTTTTTAAGTAGTTTTTGAAAATCAGTTAATTTAAAACTCTTTTTAAGTTTTTTTTATGTGTGTGTGTTTTGCTGTATGACTTTAAAATCTTGCGTAAATATTTGATAAGAGGAAAGAATGAAGTAATTTACTTTCTCTAGAAGGTAGTTTTGATGCTTTTTTTTAATAATTGTTGATTTACTTTATTTACGCTTTGCAATTAAAAATCAATTTAGAACTGTTCAAGCAAAACAGATAATTTTTAGAGAAATTTCTTTTTATGGGCTGAGGCCCATAAAAAGAAATTTCGACAGAAAATGGTTTAAGGTGGTTTTTGGTTCAATTTTTTTTCCTTTTCCCTTTTAAAGAATTTGGTTGTGGCGTCTATACATATAATTATTATTACCTTTTTTTCGATTAAAAAGATCCACTATGTAAAGTTCACTGTCAGGGGTCTGTCCAGACATTTTGTGAAAGGAGGTCGGTTTTTTGTAAAATTGTGAAAAAATTACTCGTAATTTGTGAATATAAAATAAACGTTAAATCGCATTCTTTCAACCAGGGTCCGCTTTTGTGAATTTGTGAAAATAGGGTCCGTTATTGCAAAAAAAAACTTTTTCAAGGAGTTTTTAAATTGATTGTAAAGACATACAAGATTATGCTCAACACTGTAAAATTATAATTAAAAAAAATAAAGAGCAATTGCAGCTACTAAATTAGCGATGCACCATATAAATATTTGGTATTTAGCCTATACAGCTGAACGCAGAATATTCTTTTCGGACGAATAAAGGAAGAAGCGTCTGCGGAAGACAAAATTTAGTTTGTTTACATTTCTTCCTAGGAAGGGTTTATTCGATTAACAAAACAATAATGAAGATGAACAAATTTGTGAAGGGTCCGATTAAAAGAAAAATCATTTTGTGAAGGGTCCGTTTTTAAGTTAAAATATTTTGTAAAGGGTCCGTTTTTATGAAAAGATATTTTGTGAAGGGTCCGTTAACGGACCCAAATTTCTTCTAAACAGACTGTAAAAAATTTCGGAACAAATTACGGTAGAAATTAATGCCGGCACCCTGAGTGCAGTATCTGAAAAATTAATTTTACTGTAAAATTCATTTTACAGTAAAATTTTATACCGCATATTTTACAGTAATAACTATTTAACTACAGAGAAACAGTGTTTTACATTAAAAATTACGTTATATCAGTTTTTTTACTCCTTGAAGGTTTACCGTAGAAATGGATTTTACAGTAAAAAGTACTTGCNTAAAGGCACATTAGTTATGTGCCTCTAACGCGAGAAAATAAAGGGTACATTTAGCTTGTGCCTTTTATTTAAGAGGTACCGTTTTTAGAGTGTAGAAATGGATTTTACAGTAAAAAGTACTTGCACCCTGTTTGCAGGTACATTTTATCGTAATTTGATAATCTTAAATTTTTATATCTATATAAAAAGTGCAATTGTGTATAAACATTTATTTGTGCATCTAAAATAGCTATGTAGACAATGAATTGAAAGTTATGTAATGAACGCTAAATCGATAAATTACAATATAGACTCACAATGGCTTTTGTGCATCTAATTATAGTTCAACTTAAAGTGCGTATAAACATATTAAAAAAATTAGTTGTCGTCAGTATAACAGCAATATACACAATTACTGATTTTTATCTTCTTACGTGTCATATTTACCTAGACAAGGGGAAAAAAATTTTTCTTACATGCGCTTTCACGGTAAATCAAATAAACTATTTCTAAGAAATATTTCTTAATCAAAAAGAAAATCTTTGTCCTGAGTATGCCGTTTTGGTTTAAACTTAAATTATAACCAGGGGTCTGTTTAGAAGAAATTTGGGTCCGTTGACGGACCCTTCACAAAATATCTTTTCATAAAAACGGACCCTTCACAAAATATTTTAACTTAAAAACGGACCCTTCACAAAATAATTTATCTTTCAATCGGACCCTTCAAAAAATTTTTGATCTTCATTATTGTTTTGTTAATCGAATAAACCCTTCTCAAAGAGGGGGGGGGAAGAAAGACGAATGTATAAACGAACTAAGTTTTGTCTTCGGCAGACACTTCTTCCTTCATTCGCCCAAAATGAATATTCTGCGTTCATCAGTATATGCTAAGTACCAAATATTTGTATGTTGCATCTCTAATTTAGTAGCAGCAATTGCTGTTTATTTTTTAAAATTTAAATTTTTTTTAAATATAATTTTACAGTTTTGAGCATAATCTTGTACGCCTTGAAAAAGTTTTTTGCAATAAAAGGACCCTATTTGCACAAATTCACAAAAGCTGGTCACCCTGGTTGAAAGAATGTGATTTAACGTTTATTTTTTATTCACAAATTACGAGTAATTTTTTTACAATTTTACAAAAACGGACCTTTCACAAAACATCTGGACAGATCCCTTTTCTTAATATTTTTGAAAGAATTTTTTTTTCATATATTAAAATGTTTGAACTTTATTCTGCAAATTTTTAACCAAATTTTTTAAAACCGTCTTATATCCTAATGCGCATTAAAAACCTTCCAATATGTAAAATAAATATGTATAACATAAACCTTGGAGATAGTAGAAAGTATTGTATTTTGTAATTTTTAATTTTATATTTATTTAAATATTTAGGTAAACAAAAATATATAATGCGTCTTATATTTAAAATGAATTATATTATTGTTTACATTCATACTTAAATAAATAAATATTTAACGAAAATTGCAGTTAAAACAGTCTTTTAAGTTCTCTAATAACTCGGATCGATGTAATGTCCTAAATACGAAGGAAAACAGTTTATAAGAATGCTTGCACATACTTTATCTGCTCTAGTGAGAGATGCAACAACTAATATTTCACTTCTATGTAAAAATTGAAAGAAATAAATTCGTCAGGTCTTACCTCTGCTACTTGTTTGAATTTTATATGCTGCAGAAATAGGGCGTCAGCTTCATCTGCCGATTCTCCAATTTCATTACTTTGTGCCAACATTGCTTTAGACAAATCCCTTAGCCAACGCATTGCCTGAAATCAACAATTAAAAAAAATGGATTAATAAAAAAAGTATGAAAATTCATACGTTTTTTAATCACATTTAGCATCTTTGCGTGTGGTATGTTTTGGGGAAATCATTAGCCCGAATGTGGAATCGCAAAAAAGAGGGATATGCGGCAGAATCTGAACCCACGACAACTGACTCAGGGTTCAACACGAGGTTATTGAGCGAACCACTAAACCAAACTTTCAAGTTTTAATAGAAGCTGAACTCCTGTACTTAACAATATTACACTAGTCCTGGGGTAGCAAACTTTCATACACCAACGTGCCATTTTTTCTAAAAAAATTGCTTGATGAGGTCATAGACGTGCCGTCAAATAATTTTGACTTCGTGATTATTGGGAAAATAATAATAAATACTATCAACTCAAAACTCTTTATTTACATTGAAAAAAAGAACATTTTGCAGTGTCTCAGTTATGCGCGTAATTCAACTTAAAGTAACATCAGTGCGACTTCTGTTGTTGCAAATTAGATGACAAATAACTTATATTAGGTTGTAAGATGTTAGTTTAAGCAGGACTGTTAGTTTTTTTGTTAGTTATTTATTGTTAGCTTGTTTTCTATGGTTATTAATTGTTTTTTAGAATTAATTGTTAATTTTTTATTAATAGTTGTTTACTATTTTGTGTGTTTTTGTGAATTTTAATTTAATTGTTACATATGCTTCATAGTGTAATACCATTTGTGTAATAACAAATGTGACCGGTGGCGTGCCCGAAATATTATGTCGGGTGCCATAAATAGCACGCGTGCCATTGGTTCGCCTTCCCTGCACTAGTCTATATCAATTGAATTTAAAGCTGGTCGTTTTATTAACAGTTGGGAAGAAAAAAAAACTCTTATAAAAGCAGATTCGGGAACTACCAAGTTGTAAAACATGATATTTTAAAATTTCGTGATGAGCTGAATCGAATAAAGGTTCGAAGTATAGTGCTGTTTAGTGTTAAGTATAGTTCTATATAGTGCTTAATACATTTCTATGGGGTGAATTTGAGTAAATTAACTGTTTAACGTATTCATTTTAAGGAGAGAAAAAAAAGATTAATGCTTTGCCTTTCACTTTAGTCTGCAAGCCTTCAATTAACCTAACTATCAGCTGAACAGCTTGATTTATAACGTTCATATATGCTTGGCGCTTTAATTTGCTGTTAAATTTTATCGGGTTACATATTGACCGTTTGTTTGCCAAATGCATTTAGGATCTCTTTTACAATTCCACTGAAATCTCTGACATTTATAAACATAAATAAATACCTCAATGTTGTATAATAAAATTAGACTAAATTAAGGTCTTTTTCCGAGAAATTTCAAATGCTTTTTTAAAAAAATATTGGCACTTAATGAGCTTGAGCCTCGATGGGTCAGGGCATAGATCGTTTTCCTCCCAAATAAGGTGCCTTAGATTCGAATCTCAGTAGTGACTGGTTGAAATGAATTCTGCTCCCGGCTCGCACCAACCACAGTGCTGACATGAAGTATTCTCATTGGTCGACGGACAATAGAGTAGAATCCCTTTGCCATCGGGTTAATCGTGGGAGGTTTACATGTTTTTCCACTTATGTAAGGTTCAATCAGAAAAGTACTTTACGAAGGCTAGTTTGTATCCTTTGTCTTCTGGGTTGAGTTCAAAATTACAGGGCTATGGAGTTGAACATTGATAGTCGTAAACTAAGGACTGGGTCTGCTGTTCAAAGCTGATTATAAAATAAAACTAATGAGTTTAGCGGAAAACCTTTTTCCGTTAAGCTCAACAATTGCCAAATGATCATACTCTTTCATCATTTAACTCTTTTATCATTTTTCATCATTTACCTTACCTCTTTTATTCCAAACTCGCATCTTTGCATTTGCCACCGAGCATGAACTTTAAATGTTAGATTCTCCAGTTCCTTGAGTCTAAATTCTTTTTCAACTTCGACAAAAGCAAGCCATCCTCCTATGTGCTGATGGTGACTTAGTCTTTTCTTCTCGGATAATCGAACTTTTCTGAGTGTCTCGATTAATTGCAACCCTTGAGATAAAACTGCACCAGCTAGATTGCCTGTAAAACATTACATCATTTTGTGTATTGGTATTTTGATCATATGGTAAGTATATTGCAAAAATATGTTAACCTAAGAGAGAAAATCTGTATTTTGAGATAGGGGTTGATCATAACACTGTAAAAAAATTTTAGTATATAGATGCCCCTATTTTTGGTGCTGAGGTAGTCTACATTTTTTTGCAGCTCATAAAGTCACATTTTTTATTGACTTTTTCACTGTTATAGTTTTATTTATTTTTTCGTTTCATTGTTTACTGAGAATACATATTTTCATACATATTCGAATCAATTTATGACTCTATTTCAAAGATATTTCGTTTAAGGTTAGTCGGTAGGACATATATCAGTAATGCTAAGACTGACCTTTTACGATGTACCTTTTCGAAGAAACTATTTATGATATCGCTTCGAAATCTTTCGGGGGATATTTTAGATTGTATCAGTTGCGTGCTTTATAAAGTTTTAATGTTAACAGGATACTTTTTGAGTATTGAAAAATTTTTACTCAAAAATGGAACTTTTTAAAAAATTAAAAGTTTTCAGTTCATTATTTCTTGAAAAAAAGTCTGCCACAGATGCGTATTAGCAGTTATCACAGTGCAAACATGTATAGGTAAATATTCTGCGAAAAAGAAACTGAAGCAATATCTTGTTTATATGCTGAGAAAAAGTACATCGAAAAAGGTCAGTTTTAGCAGTATATGCCCTACTAACTCCTCTTAAGAATCAAGTACATTTTTAGCAATATATCTTTCATATAATTGCTAATTTGTCAATTATATATAATTTTTCACACGATAACTACAGTTCTGTACTTCAAAATGTATTTAGTTTAACCTTAACGCCAAGAAAATGGTGACAACTAAACACCAAACTTTTTTCAGCGTAACAGATGACGTATTCTATAAAAAAAATTTGACTTCGTTATCTCTTTTCTTCTATCACATGGAGATTTGAAACATGTGGTAGAAAGGTACACAATTGTAACTGTTTTTCTCCTTCGGGGTGTTCTGTAAACATCGCCTATAATGTATTTTTTCCAGATCCACGTAAGGAATTACGTAAGGAAATACACACTTTAGTGGTAGCAATTTATTAGTTAAAGAGAGGAAAACTCGTTTTTGATCGTTTGAAGATAGAGAATATTTGAAAAGGGAAGCAACTTCATCAGCAAATTTAAACGTTTTTTTATGCCGACTCTTTAATGAAGTCTATATCGATGATCTCTTTCTTTCGTACAAAATTGTCTCTTAATATGACCTTTCTTTTTTTACTTCGTAAAAATACATATTAACGATTGTGAAACACCCAATATACTTATTTCATTAACTTTTTAGAATGGAAAAAAAAATATTAGTAATTTTTATGCCTAGAAAAAATGCAGTCAGTTGCTCTCATAAACTATGCATTCGCGTCTACGAGGATGAGATGCAGACAAAATATGTATTGCTTATTTCATGAAAAAATTGTAATATACAGGGTGTTTATAAAGTCCCGGATCCATTTTGATGTTTAATAACTCATAAAACAATAAAGATAGATTAAAATTAATAACATAAATGGTTACATAGACTCAAAAAGTTTCATGACCCTTGTCAATGAACTTCCACGAGTGCCCCCTTCGTCACACGGAGAATATCAAGTCAATAGTCAATTTCACGCCAGGTAACGGCAAGCATGTCAGCATCCACGGAGGCTATTGCGCTTGTAATTCTGGGATTTCATGTTTCTGGCATTGTTAATCGCCATAATGTGCGCATATGGGGATCTGAAAACCCCATGAATTCCGTGAGACACAAAGGGATTCCCCAAAGGATAATGTGTGGTGTGGACTAATGCACGACCGAGTCATTGGGCCTTTCTTTTTTGCAGAAAAGACGGTATCATTAGTCTTATACTTATAGACATGTTGGAAAACTTCGTATTTCCACAACTAGAAGAGCTTCAGTCACATGTCTTTCTGCAACAAGATGGTGCACCACCTCATTGGGGTATCATCGTTCGTAGTTCTTTGAATGACCATTTTCCAGGAAGATGGATTGGGCGAGGAGTATTCTTCCTATTCTTTGGCCACCCAGATTACCTGATATAACGCAGCTGGACAATTTTCTTTGGGGATTTATAAAGGACAATGTTTACAGGAGGATCGTGTCGAACATTGATGNGCAGTTAGAGCCTTCTTATGTTTGCGATTTGAATATTTTTGTTATACACAGGGCTGACCATTCTAAGGTTGTTCAGTGATGATCAGTAATCTTTTAATTTATTCCTTTTTTTTGTGCGTCAGACATAGTTTAATGCATTTTTTGCAGGTATACCTGGCTCAGTAATTACGATTTTTGTCTGACATTATTTACTTTCTATATTTAGTCATGTATTATTGAAATGCTTTTTCCGAACATTTTAATTTTCAAACTTCGTAGTTTACTTTGATTGTTTGTCAGTTATTTTTAAAAATAATTTTTTTTCGGATTTTTATTTTCTCTATAATAATTTCTATTCCTCTGTCCTTGTTATTTTTCAAAAATTTTTAAGCTAAATGGGAATTTTTGTGATCAATTTTGTGACCAGTAACTCTTTATTCTCATTAATAAAATAATAAGTCTGAATAAAAACTATGTTATATAATACAACAAATTTTTAATAAGTACAGCAAATTTTTCAGATTTAGTCTTTGTTTAGTTGTAATAATTTTTTTAGATTTCATTTTTATCGGATTTTTGCTTTTACGCTTATGTTAATGATATTTTTGTTAATTGTTTTCTCTATATTTTGTTAGAACATTTTAAATTCTTTAAATATATTTCATTCAATTTATACTTGAAAATTTTTAAATATTTTAAAAGTATATAACATAATTTCCCAATATCATTTGGTTTTTTGAAAGATTCTTTTAAATTTCCATTAGTCTTTTTCGCTCGACAATTTTGTTTCGAATAGCTATAATTCAAAAAATAACATTGCATTTTTAAGTTAAAAAAGCACGTAGCCTCTAATATACAATAAAATTTTTGGTTATAACTTTATAATGTGTTTAGATTATACTTCTGTAGATAAGAAACATATTTAAATATGGCGAGCTGGAAATTAATTCCTTCATTTGTTTTAATTTTTTCATCCCTAGTCCTTTATCATGAAAACTTAATATGATAAAGTTAATTCTACTTCATTAAATTACTGCATATTTATATGTTTAAAATTGTATTTTTTTTTCTTTGTATACATTTTAAGCGTTACCTTGGAATTAACCAGAAAAATCAGAAGACTTGTTAAAATTCAAAGTCATTTTAAAATAAGATTTAATTTTAGAAATCAATCTCTTTTACTCCTTCATTTATTTTAATGTTTTTATACCTTGTGCTTATCATCAAAATTATGATAAAGTTAATTTTCCATTTTTTTGTAAACTGAAAATTTATATTCATGATTAAATTCAAATCTATGCTAGAATCAAAATTTAAATAACAAGTTATTTTTAATTCAATATGTTTTTGAGGAGCGAAAAACCATTCTATGTCATTTTGATTAAAATGTATCGACAAAATGTATTGCTCAGCATTAACAAGTTTAAAGGAGTAAAATTATAAAATTCATTAATTAAATTTTTTACATTTTAATATACTTTTTTTCTTTTTAATTAGCTTCGGATTGATAAATCATTTTTTGTTAACTAAATTGGTGTGGATGTAATAGTTAAATCATCGTCGTCATAAACAACGGAAATAGTTTATATAATTGCAATTAGACAAATTACAATATTTAAATAATACAACTAACTTTAAAATATTAAATCAAGCAAAGCTTATGACTTTGCATTGGCTCGCCCCCCCCAGTCAAAAAAAAGTTGGCACGCCACTGCATACAGTCCAAACCTTTCACCGTGTGACTTTTATGTTTTGGACCTCTAAAACAAGCTATTCGCGGACATCGATTCACATCGGACGACGACGTGTGTGACTGGGTCCAGGCCTGGATCCGACAGCAGCCTACTATCTTTTTCAGAGATGGAATCGACCGGCTAGTGTCGCAATGGGATAAATGTGACAACAGTTTTGGCGACTATTTTTGAGTATGTACACTGTGTATAACTGCATTTCTGATTTAATAAAATCGTTACCATTACTTTGCACTAGTGACCGGGTTTCATTTGAATGCCCCTCATAAAGGAAAACAGCTCGTTGCTAGGACAACACAATTTTAATTATAATCCTGACGTTCTATATATTTGGGTATTAAAGAAATAATGGATGTAAATATTTTTCCTCATTAATAATGTATTTAATAACCGGGATCAATCATGCTTATAACTATATATTTATGTGTAAATAACTGTAGATATTAAATGTGTCGTCAATTTACTTTGTATTTATTCGCATACTGCAGGAAGACTAAGCACCTTCCCTTACAAACTGATAAACATAGTGAATATTTTACTGTAATTAAAGAAATAAAAATTGTGAAAAATATCTCAAACTGCACTGTGAAAAACACCAATGACTCCGTAAAATTCCGTAAATCTTAGTACTGTACTTTTTACGGAAATATTTATTTAATTACAGTGATTCAGTTATTTTACAGTAAATATAACTGTAAAAATTATGTTATGTCAGATTTTTTTGTTCTGTGAAACTTTACCCTAAAAGTGGATTTTACGGTGAAAAGGTACTCGCACCTACAGTAAAGATTCTGTAAAATCCATTTTTACGTAAAATTTTATACCGTAATTCGTACAGTATTTAATTACAGTAATTCAATAAACATACAATGAATATAACTGTAAAAATTATGTTATATCAGATTTTTCTTTGTTGCGTAAAACTTTACGGTAAAAGTGGAATTTACGGTAAAAAGTATTGGCACTTAGATTGCAGCATCTGTATAATCCATTTTTATTGTAAAAGTTCATACCGTAATTTTTCCAGTAATATTTAATTAATTACAGTGAGTCAATGAATATACAGTAAATAATACAGTTAAAATTATGATATATCAGATTT